CTAACTCTGCACACCGAGGCAGGCAGCAGCAACACTCACTCTACGGTCCTGGAAGCACACACCAAGGGCGGGATACGGTGGAAGCAGGACCCGCACCACACACTCTGCTGCAAGAGGAGAGAGGAATCACACATCCGCAGCTACACGGAACCGCCAGAGGGAGGGCGAAAGCGGGCAGGGTAAATCCAGCACAGTCCAGTGAAACCCGCCCTTCTTTTCCTTCTCCATCCTGTCTGCCTGATTTACATAGCGGGCCTACAGAACAACACACAGCAGCTGCCTCGAGACTACACGTAATTCTGCTTCTCACCCACAGCCCCTGAGAAGGCCTGTGATGACACCACGCTGCACCCATTTCTCCCGTGATACAGGCCCTCACTTGGGGACCGTAAGCCCCACATTCTCCACCTCACTGACCCCCGCCCATTAGTGCCCGGGTCTGTCCTCTGCCCCCGGCCTTCTCTCCCGTCACCTCAATTTCTGTAATCTCTAGAAATAAGCCAAATATATACCAATTCTGATGCAATCTTTGACTTTTATTTCAAACAGATTTTTTTTTTTAATTAATTTTTTTCTTTTTTAAGTAGACTCCACACCCAGTGTGGGGCTCAAACTCACGACCCTGAGATCAAGAGCAGCATGCTCTACCAAGTGAGCCAGCCAGGTGCTCCTTGTTGCAAACAGATCTTAAACTGAAAACTCCTCTCTCCAAAGACACCATCCACCACTGCACCTTGATGGATACCTGCTTCTTCATTTTCTTTAACTGCCTGTTCTTGCTGCCACAGACATGTCAATGCATCATCCATGGGGATTTCATTTGGGCCCCTGCTGTCCTCTGACTCTGTGTCCCTTTTACAGTATTTACAGTATGCTGGCTCACTTCATCCGGTGACACCACAGTTCCTACTGCGGCCTCGCAGAGACAGGGCAGGATACAGTTCACTGCACAGAACGGGCTTCCACGCTGACCTGAAGGATGCGAACAGGTGCTCCGGCGCCCTGTCACCAGCTGCCTGGTGATTTGTAATCCAGGTCCTTCTCAGACTTCAGGGAACTGTCCACCACAGACTGAACTCTTGAGATTGTCATCCCTGTCTACCCGCTGGCTTTTCACCTCCATTCCTTTATTATTTCTCTCTAAATTGAGACAGACTATTGTAGAATAGTCTTAGTCCTACAGAGACGTTGGAAAGACAGTACAGAGTCCCACGCACACCTCAGGCCCAGGTCTCTGTTCCGCTCCTAGCTCACATTGCCAGTGGCACACCGGCCACAACTCCTTCATCAACATCGACTTATTATTATTAACAAAGTCTATACTTAATTCAGATTTCATTACTTTTTCTACATCATTTTTTCGTTACAGAATCCAACTTAATTACCATGACTCCACAGACTCTCCTTGGCTATGTCAGCTTCTCAGATTCTCCATGTTTTTGACCATCTTGACAGTTTTAAGGTGTACTGGTTTGGTATTTTGTATAGTGTCCCTCGACTGGGAATTATCTGTATTTCGCATGAGACTGGGGTTATGGGTTTAGGGGAGGAAGCCAACAGAGGTGGAGCGCCCTTCTCAACAGATCCTACCAAGGGCACCTGCCATCAGCATGGCTTATCACTGCTGGTGCCGACCTTGATCATCTAGCTCAGGGGTTGTCTGCCAGGTTTCTTCACCGCCAGCCAACATTCTCCCCACACCCGTTTCCATACTGTCCTGTACAAGTCTCCAAGTATAGCTCATCCTTTAAGGTGGGATTTGATGCTCTGCCCCCTTTGTGGTCATAGCTACATAAATTACTTGTAATTCTTCTGTAGGGGAGATTTGTCACTTCTCATGTATTCTGTCATTTCTAAGAGTATGGACTCACGGATATCTACTTTATAATCTGGGTTATGATATAAAACTATGTTGCTCATTTTGTAGCTCAAATGATGCCAGCTTTAGGCACTTCAGCTGGCTCTTGCAACACGTGGGCAGAGCGCTTTCTCCCTTCTGGCACCAAGAAGCTCAGGCCCCTCCTATACCCCCTCCCCCCACCTTTCTAGCATCAGGCATTTTTCAAAGGAGCCCTGGTTCCTTTCATTGATGAATGACATTAGAAACCAGGCACTGGGGACCATGGAAGATTTTAATGCTACTGGTAGGAGTGATTTTATAGCATATGAAATAAACCCACTTTTCTCCTTCATTTCTATTTTTTAAAAAATCCATGTTCCCTCAGAACTGAAAATCAACATGCTCCAACAACTTCTCCGGTTCCCCCTCCAACGGAAACTCTTCCTGCGAGCAGCATCCCTAGTGGCCCAGGACAGAAAACCAAGTCTAACCAGCCAGCTGGCAGAGACCCCAGCTCCGGCCACCTCCATCCAGCTCGATCCCGGCGCTGCCGTGCCCACAACACAGCCTCGCTCCTTCTCGAGTGGGCAGGAGGGACACCGTGGTGTCCTGGTTCCCTGCATCCCTTTTTGAACCTTCTTTAATAAAATCCCAGTCCCATGAACATGGAGTTCTAAATCGCAAATCTCCTCACACCACTGCCCTGCTTAGGATGGCCTAGGATCAGCAACGGGCAAGGACCACAGGCTTCTGAAGAGAGCAGTGGGCTGTTAATGACCAGCCCTCACAATGAACCGACAGTTTTCTAGCTGCTACCTGACCTTCCGTGTCTCTGTGCCTTCACAAAGTCTCATCCCTCCTCCCGGGCAGTTCCCCCCACCTGCCCACATGCCTTCTTCGGGACTCGGGGTGACCACATCTCCCCGTGAAACCACCTCGGACATCAAGTCCCATGCTCCCAACACCCCCCACCCCGAGGCACCTCTACTTCAGCTCCTGGGGCATTATTCTACAATTCTGCTCACTCATCTGAGTCTCCCTGCTAGCTGTAAGCTTCCTGAGGATGAATGTTTTGTATTATTAATTTCTAAATATCCAGCACTCGGCTGCCAATGGCTGAGCACGTGCTCAGTAATGTCTGTTAAGTGAACCAATGAGTAAAGAAATAAATGGACAAAGGAACAGATAATCGACCAAATAACCAAACAGGTAAAACTATTCCTGTTATTTGGGAACCTCCATTTGAATTGAGAACAAACCCAGTGTCATTTCAGACAAGATCTTCAATGATCTCCTCAATTCTGGTGATTTGTATCTGAAGCACTAAGAGACTGGCAGGCTGAAGAATGTGACAGTTGTGAACACAAATCTCCACCACAGTGAGTGCTGTTTTCTGTTTCAGTTATTGATGGTCTCACTACTTCTACATCATCCACTGAAGGTCAGGAAACACTCTACTGAAAATAATTCTGCCTGCTAAGATACCCTAGTTAATCTCAAATTTTTCATTCATCTCCAACCAACTCCTTTTTGCTCTTTCCAATCTGTTAAGGGCACAACATATGTATAGATGCGTTCAGATAAACCCGGGCGCAGCATCTGGCCAGTGATCTCTGTGCTGTGCACGGTCACGGACACTAGGCTATGCGGACACGTCACATTCAGAGGTCAGGCTGTGAGCTGGCTCTCAAGGCCTCAAGCCGGACAGACGGCCCAGGTGGCATTCTCTCCCCTCACAGCCTGGCACAAAGGAGGCTCGTGTCAATTATGAAAAATAACTATCACATCTCTTATGACCAGTTATTATTCCAAATGGCTGTACCTGAGCTGTAACCAACTTGCAAAAATGGTTATTTCTACTTTTATGTTTAAATGACTACAACTCCCCTGCAAACTCTTGCTTTCAAAGTGATGGGGCATTAAACTTTCACATTGTGGCCGCAGTTGGGATCCAAGAAAGTCCAGGCAAAATCTGAAGCCAGTTAAAGTTGCTATCATAGCAGAGTAATGATAGATAACCTTTTACTTTATTTTACCAATTTATTTTACATCTCCCAAATACCACAAGGATTTCAGTAATAATACAGCCAGAAAAGGTTAAGTGTTGGCCAGATGTGGCACCATTCCTAATGAAACTAAAACGGACCCTTCCTGGGACTTAAAGATCAATGCTCTTTTGCTGCATGAATTATCAAAAAGATGAAGTACAGAGGGGCGCCTGGGTGGCTCAGTCATTGAGTGTCTGCCTTCAGCTCAGGTTATGGTCCCAGGGGCCTGGGATCGGGCCCTGCATCAGGCTCCCTGCTTGTCAGGAAGCCCGCTTCTCCCTTTCTCACTCCCCCTGCTCGTGTTCCCTCTCTTGCTGTCTCTCTCTGTCAAATAAGTTTTTTTGTTTTTTTTTTAAAGATTTTGTTTTATTTTTTGACAGAGAGACACAGTGAGAGAAGGACACAAGCCGGGGGAGTGGGAGAGGGAGAAGCAGGCTTCCCGCGGAGCAGGGAGCCCGATGTGGGGCTCGATCCCAGGACCCTGGGACCATGACCTGAGCCGAAGGCAGACGCCCAGCGACTGAGCCACCCAGGCGCCCCTAAATAAAAAAAAAAAAAAAAAGATGAAGTATAGAACTTCAAACCTCCCTAGACATAAACTCCAGCATGGCTTCTATGCATTTAATACAACCTAATGTAAGAGTCTAATACACAAATTAATTCCAAGATCCGAAAATTTTTCAGTTATCATAAATATCCTGTTACGTGAGCAACAAGTAATTCACATATCTCCACCTGTGAAAAAACCCTTCAACAATGTATACAGAGAATATAGGTAATAACTGAACCAGCAATTCTGAATTCGCTGCAAACTAGAAGTGAAACTTCACCCCAATATGGTTAAATCTACAGAGACAGAAGTCTGTGCTGACATGCCATAGACATTATTAGCCCAAAGACATGTGTCAACAAATTAAAATCTCTGCTCACACAGTTACTGTCATTAGGAATTCTTTGCTTAAAAAAACTTTCCTTCTTCCAGAAATAATTGTTTTAGAAACAGTAGTGTTTCAGGTTTTGCATTTAACTTTAGGTAAACTAATAAAGCCCTCGGTCTGAAGGCTGACTTACTTCTGGGTGTGTGCGGAACAGTGGAGGTGTGTAATACTTACTCCAGCACTTCATAGTTGGACTTCTTCTCTAGTGCGTTGCCTCGCATCTCCCAGTACGAGCGCCTAAAACCGGGGAAGACATATATTTACACACACGTATAAGGAGGGTCTATGCTGCTAAACGTTAACTACTTTGCGGCTCAGCCACCACCTCCTGATATGCTATTAATGAAGATTGAATCTCATCCCTGGCATTACTCCCATGCCCCAGTGAAGCAGAGATCAGTGAACACAGACTTTGTCCTATTGGACGATCTTGCTTTCTCTTTTAATGTGAAGCAGGTCTGGCTCTTTGTAGAGACGAGACGCAAGACTCCAGGTGTGAGGGAGGTTCGTTCCATCCGCCGGCTGCTGTGCTCATCTCTCCGCCAGAGGCTGCGCGCACGAGCAGGACGGCTACAGAGCCACCAGCCTCCTCCGTGGCCAGGCAGGCAGCAAGCACACCGACTCCTGCAGGGGCGCACGTGTCACCCAAGGGAAGTGCACGGACACGTGACAGGACGATCCGAGTAGGCTCTGCAGGCAGAGGGGCCAGGCTCCGGCCTGGAAGTGCTGCCTACCATTCTGAATGTTCAGTGTCTGAACTGCACCCTCTTACTGCAGACTACCCATTCAAGCAGTCAGGTCTCACTGAAGCCAGGTCCTCTCTCTGCAGAACCTGCCACGCGTGGGTAGGATTCTCTCTGCACATACACAGTATTCTGAAAAAGGCTAAGCTCTGGCTTGAGCTGCTCTGGGACACTCGGATATGATGCATCATCTCAAGTCATGTTATAGGAGAATGAGACTCTGTTTCAAACCTGCCTATAATAATATAAATAGTGGTTTTGCTTTTCAAATTTGTTTGGCTTTTTCTTTGGCCTACTTAAAATGGAAGTACTAGATTTAGATGAAAAATTACAAAGGACCCCCAAAGGGTCACTCAGTTGGTTTTCTTGCTTTCTATTTATGCAGGGGGGAGGGGAGCAGGTAAAGGAGGGGCCTGGAGGGGGAGGCCGATTTGTCCGGCTTTTCCTGCAGTGCATTACTTCATAATGAAATCAAGGACATGGAACGGGGCACAGAGGAGAGGGATAAACACAGCACGGGAGGCCAGAGTGGGAAGGAGCAGGAGGGTGACCTAGGACCCAGGGAGTCCCAGTACCACTCGTGCAACAGCGGGTGCTTTCTGAGCCTTGCCCCAGATAACCCAGTACAGCACTGTCTGCAGTGAGAAAGGGGCACCCAAGTATGCTTTCTGTCTAGGCCTGTGAGGGCTCAGGGGCGGGACAGGAACACGAAGAGACCAGTGAGGGATGATTGCTGTTACTGGAAAAAAGAACTAAGGCTGAACACAAATTTTAAGGAAGAGTTGAGAGTTATACCTGAACCACCCTCGGGTCCTTGTATGGACTGGTATGTAACAGCCTCATGCAGTATAAAAAATAATGATCTTGGGGGGCAATTTTCACTACCTGTTCTGAGCACACATCATCAAATTTTGGCTAGTTTAACCAACTCATCTTAAACTAGCACCCAAAGTAAATTTTAATTGAAATCACACCTGAAAAAGGTAAAATACTCTTATTCAAAATTAAAATGGCAGCATAGAAGATAATATATGACACATGGTGACAAATGTTACCAGAATCAAGAACGATATCCTCAGATTTCCATTTCCCTTACCCCTGCAGCACGGCCGTCACTAGCCATATGTGGCTATTTATGTTCCCATTTAAATGATGTGTACTAGCACATTTAATCCCTCAGCCCACCGGTGAAGGGTGGCGAGCGGCTAACACCTGGGATCCCACAGACACAGCACACTTCTATCACCCCAGGAGAGTACTGGGGAGCGCTCTCAGACCTACCGACATTTGCGCACTCTCATCAATCATTCCACTCCAAATACAATGAAATATCATTTTAAAAGATCCTAAGATTTCTAAAAGTAGCACTGACAACCTAATTCAAAATCTCAAATTTTTACTCAAATTTTATTCAATATTTCATTAGTAATCTTTATGAGGAAAAGGAAAATACCTGGATAATTTCCAAAACTAACGAACACCGCTGATGAGCAAAGTCCTCAATGCCTAGTTACCACCTTACCGTATCTCTAGACAGCCCAGCTTCAAAGCAATGTCCTGGTCCACGCGGTCAGCTATCTCAGACATGTAGTCGCTCTTCACCTGCAATCAGAAGGAATGGGGGAAACAAAGCTGCTTTAGAAGAGCACACTGCAGAGTCACCCATTCCACGGCTGTTTCCAGGGTGCCGTTCACATCCTCCAGACACACTGGGCCAATAATTATGCTGGATGCTGGATACAGAAATGAGCAACACCAAAAATAGCTACGGAAATACAATGGACTCTTACTAAGAACTCATCTAATCCATGAGCACTTAAACTTTAAGAAGCAACTAACATCATCTGAATCGCCAACTGCTTTAGACCCTCCCCATGCTGTCACAAGCGAAAGCAAGAAAAAGATCTCTATTTCCATGCAAATTTGCAGTGGATGTATTTTCTGAACTCAAACTACAGTCCCAGCAGCATTCTTTGGACCCCAATGGCAAGAGCAAAGAAAATTTACATATTTCAAAATCCATGTAACTCTGTGAATGACATGCTTCCACCTCACCATCACCTGTATGTGATTAATCTGCAAAGTCATAACATGTGTAAAATCTAATATAAAGAGAAGAATCTTGGAATGAGCACTGGGTGTTATAAGCAACTGATGAATCACTAAATTCTATCTCTGCAGCTAATAATACACTCTATGTTAATTAAATTGAATTTAAATTTTAAAAAAAAGAGAAGAATACAAAAGAATTCCATAAGCACCTTCTGAGTAATGATTATGCTCAATTACAGTAACTGGCAGACTGCTAGCTGGACCTGAGAGCACACGTCAGTGTGAAGACACTTCCCAAGATGAAATATATAAGATCTCCTTATAGAATAGCATTAAGAGATCAACATCTGCAACTGACAACAGGGAGCACTATTCTGAATCTCAGTTAGTGAAATGTTATCGCTCCCCCAAAAGGAAGTCCATTATTCTCACTAGCAGAACTGTATTACAAAAAATTACACTCAATCATTATATTATGAATTTCACCAATACAAAATTTTGTGGAAATCCGTCTTGTCTCTTATTATAGAAGCATTTCAAACACCCTTGATTTTGCCTCTTACTGCTCAACTCTAAAGTGTTTACTCTCAGGCCCTTCACAGAAAAAGTGTGTTGACCTCTGCCCTAGAAAAAAAATTCCAAAGATCCTGCTCTTCAACTATTACCTCCTAGCCTGTCAGCTCACTTGCTCAAAAAGTATTTCTACTCCGCAGTGAAATACTCTGTCTACCTTACATCATATATGTCATCATCATGACCTTCCCTTGCAAAGACCCCCAACTTCCCAATCTCTAATTATCCCCTTTATTTTAACTCTCTGACAAAACCAACAGCTACTGAAACAAACCACCTCCTTCGCCATGCTTATTGCTGAGCAACTAGAGAAACTATAGTACAGGATGAGCTTTGCCTCAGTCCATGACGCCTCAAATGTCGGCTGAAACCGTCCAGAAACTCAGCAATGTTTGCCTAGGAAATGCGCCAATACACTGATTCACACTTCCTCCAGTCACTTCACCACATGTCTTTCTTAACAGCAAAAAGTTTTCAGATGGGAATATCCTCTTTGATGTACCAAGAATCTAGAACCCAATGTGCACTGTACTCACCCACTCATTCCTTTCTCTTAGGGGAGGAGCGATGACCAGTCACCTAGCCATAGGCAACCATATGCTATTTCTGATCTGAACATCATGTCCTCTCAAAACCTTTGCCTTATTTTCTGCATTAGCACCTAGACCTCGGTGGTTAATAATATTTATTAACAGAATAAGTGAGCAAATGAATGAATTAATAAAGTCTTCAAATTGGGGTTTGGGTACCTCTGTAAATATCATTTTCCATGTAAGTAAGCAACAATAATTTCTACTGTTTACACGCAGTAGGTATTTAAGACTGATTCAAACTGATTTACTCAATCCACTAAATTAAGTTAAAAGCTTTAATCCTAGAATCATTTTGTTTATACTTCAACTGGCCCTTTCTCCTATATAGCAAAAAATAAATCCAAATTTAAAAACCAAGTTTTTGCATCCTAAGTAGGTTTATTATTGCACACAAAAATAAAGGCACAAGAGATACATCAAGACATGTATTTCTGTGAGTTAGAGAAACACCACAGTTGTTCTGACTGAAACAGTCGATCTTAGTTTATAGTTTGGTTAGGACTTCAAAGAAACCACGGCAGAGTATCAATTACATGCTGAGTAAAATTACCCCAAAGATAAAAATGTAGTGATCTGAATGGGCACATGCACCCCAATGTTTATAGCAGCAATGTCCACAATAGCCAAACTATGGAAAGAGCCTAAATGTCCATCAACAGGTGAATGGATAAAGAAGATGTGGTATGTGTGTATATATAATGGAATATTATACAGTCAAAAAAATTATCTTAAAGCTTAAATTTTTAAGCACTTTTCACAGGTGGGAAAACGTAATCATACACTTTATTTCATTCAACAAAACCAGATTCACGTTAGTTGCAAAAATGCAAACAGAGGCAATGATAATTTAACAATCTCTGTAGAAAATCCCGTTATGACCATGACTTAAAAGCTCTAAGAGTTGTTTTCCTAGATCAACAGTCTGCTGCTCTCACTCGCAGAGCTCTGTGCCCATGGCCTGAAGGGATTGATGCGCCCTGCAGAGTGGACTGACCCCACATGAAGCCACCCCAGCAGACCCTCGGCTCCCTGCATCCCTACCGCAGGCCCCGTGGCAGCTTGTGTCTGCAGGAGCAGAGACGGCGAACCCCATCTGATTTCCCTGACGGCCCCCCAGAGATGACGTTCTCTGAAGCCACCAGGCACATTCACATACTGATGCTGTGCTCAGGCATTTTTCTTTAGGACTCAGGGTTCTATATGCTCACTGTTCATTTCTCTTATAAGACATGTCCTGACTACCTTTCACCTCCTACTAACTTTCAGTGGAATTCACTGCCTCTCATTTGTGAAATATACGCAATTTACTGAGCATTTAAGTGTGTGTATGTGGATAAAATTGCTGAAAGTAAATATACTGAGCACCCTGGCTGGCAGACTTGTATGTAACATATCCTATAACCCTCGCAACATCACTGTGAGTTGGCGGTACCACAATCCCCAATGTAAAGCCTTAGAACAAGCCTAACGAAAATGAAGTTGACAACAGAGGGGCTGCCTATTATTTAAGGAGTACTACCAGGGCTGAGGTACCGTGCTTTCACATATGTTATTTGCAATCTTTACAATAATTCTTCAAGGTTGGTGTTAGTAGTCCCACTTTATACATAAAGATCAGGAAAGTTAATTCACCCAAGGTCACACAGCCAGTGTTTTAAGAGTGAGGACTCAAGCACCAGTCGGCCCACCCCTACAAGTCAGGCTTCAGTGTGTGCCCACATCACCTCCAAACTCTCTCACAGGGAAGACCACAGTCGTCCTCTACAAGAAGACCAGGGGCAGGTGGAAGCACATCCCATCACCCTGCTGCCTACAGGAGCTGACGTAATGACTTCCCATGCACCGCCTGCTTCGCCTGGCCAGTGACATAGTGCTGTATTCTCTCTTTATATCACAGACAACTACTATGTGCTGACCCCAAGTGCAGCTCTTGAACAAGCGTCTTTCAAGAAGAGACTTCCGAAAGCTGGTGTTTGGTTTGTTTGTTTTTAAAGATTTTATTTATTTTAGAGAAAAAGAGAGAGTGTGTGTGAGCAGGGGAGGGGCAGAAGGAGAGAGAGAATCCCAAGAAGACTCCATGCTGAGCAGGGAGCCCAACACGGAACTCGATCTCACAACCCTGAGATCATGACCTGCACTGAAACCAAGAGTCAGCTGGTAACCAACTGAGCCACCAGGTGTCCCCGGTGTTTGGTTTTTCAAATTAATCTGTGTCCATGTTGATGTCAATTTCCTACTTCAAAAAATAGGGTGTATTTGGACTTCCTTCTGTGGCAAGTACTGTATTTATATTCATTAGTTTTTTCTTCTTACTCTGCGAGAGAATCAAACAACCCAAGTTCTGTAAATCCTCCTAGTGAGTGACTAAGCTTTGAGATTGTTCTGGGGATTCCATGACCAGAGTGTTCCTACCAGTGTGAGAGTCTGTCAAAGTCCCTGAGGTGGGCTGAAGGCAAATTTATAACGCCTTCCCATTTCTGAAGTCTTTCATACAGAAGGATGACCAAGAAATATGGGCTGAATAGAGTAACTATGCAGGATTTACCTGATTTAAGAATCCTCAATAACATGAGTGCTTCTTGAATCAACAAAAATATACAGGAGTGGGAAAAGAAGAAGAAATGTACATTACTCAATCTATCAAATAAGTATAGAAAACAGACCTTCGAATAAGTCAGACTTAGACCTGTATTTATTTTACCTTTTTTTTTTTTGAAAAGGACAGCTGATAATTACCACATTGAAAATGTCAGGTTTAAAAGAATCTCCCATTTAGAGCTGCCGTTTCAAAATGTTTTAACTGGCAGAAAGCTTTATAGCCAAGAAAACACAGTTAAAGAATAAAAAATTTGAATAAAAAATCACAGGAACAAGAAACCACACACCCTGGCACCTCAATATTTCCCCAGGTGTTTTCAGATTCTATTCCTCAGGGTGAGGTTACGGCTCTGCCCTTGGTATCTTCTTTCAACTTCCTACCAGAACTCCTTTTGTCAAATAAGTCATAATTATGTTACAGGTAATGTTTTCAGGACAGGATGGATGGATGTACAGGTAACACAGGAACAACACATGTTTGAATTGCATGGGTCCACTTATGCATGGATTGTTTTTGATCAACACAGTACAGTCCTGTAAATGTAATTTCTCTTCCTTATGATTTCCTTAATAACATTTTTTATCTCTAGCTTACTTAAATACGTTAATTGACTATATTATTAGTAAATCTTCCTTCTGATCAACGATAGGCTATTAGTAATTAAGTTTTGGGGGAGTCAGAAGTTATACATGAATTTATGACTGTGTAGGGGGTCAGCATGCCTCACCCCCGCATTGCTTAAGGGTCAACTCTACTCATTTTAATCTTAAAATATTTGTAGGAGA